ACATAATAGAAGATTAGTCAGCATAGTACAAGGCTATGTATAAAGCATGTGGAAAACTTATTAATACTATAATGGAACATAATAAAATGAAGTTAGAAATGAACAAAGTCCAGATAAGTAAGTACAGTCAGATATAAATATAACCAGATGACCAGAAATAGGGGCTAACTAAAAGGGGATGTGCAAAAGGGGAAAGACATGAAAAGTGAAGCTAGTCAGATCTAGAAATCTGAAGAAGATTATGTTATAAGTCCAGGTCTAAAACATCGGATATAGTAAGTATGAAAAGTCCAACAGATGTTTAGAAACTAGAGGTAAGGCTTATGGACAAAGTCTGGAGTAGAAACAAAACAGAGGTAGACTACTAAAGGTAAAGGTGGAGATATATAATCAATAGAAATCAATCCTAAGACTTGGAGATTGACAAAAGACAGACTCAAGTTAAATGAAGGCAGGAATGAGCAGAATCAAATACAAACATAAAAAATACAGTCACAAATAGGCTGTAGCTTGTCAATGACATCAAAGAATGTATATATAAGCCACTATGGTGATTGAATACCTCGAAACTAGAGAAAGAAAACATAACTATCCTTAGGTTTCTTGTCATCTCAATCTTGGCCCTTTCAGTCAAATGTCTTGTCATCAGGATTATCATTATTGTTGTTCAAAAATTCAGCTAAAAAAGATCTCAAAACAAATGGGTCTAATACCTTTCTTGGTCTGAAAGGACACTATAATGACTTTAGCTCATTAAATACTAAGGTTGTGATTATGAGCATATACAAATGCAATGATATCTGAATCCTGCTACTCATTGAGTATATTCTATTGGGTTAGAGCATGTATAATATTGGCATCAGAATAGGGTATGTACAGTGCATCATTAATAGTAGATATGAGCTGGTGCTCACTATGGACTCTGTAATAGTAATAATAGCATATAGGTGCTCCATTTTATCATCAGAGAAAAAAAGATTGATAGGATGATATGAAGACTGATAGTATAAGACTGGAATATGAGTCCATATGTGATAGTGCCCTTTACATGTGAGAATAGAGAACTGTCATACTACTTCAGTTAGAATGTAAGCAGGAAGAGCATTTTTAACCATAGTAATAGTATCTTAAGCATTTGCTCAATAATTGATAAGCTCTAAAACATGCTTGGACTAGTTTCATTTAGACTTTGGCCTAATCATTGGATAAGGCAGGTAGAGTTGGATGGACTATTAGAGTCCTCTGAAAGAATATCTAAATCTGAGTCCTAGTTGTTTATAATAAGCTCATTTTGATAATGTGTGAATATATACATAGCTTGCATAGCATCTGAAATAAATATCATATAAGTATCATTAATCCTAAGTAGATAAAAATAAAGGTAGTGTTGGACTAGGTCTTCCTATTTTGACAATAGTGTTTGAGTTCTTACTTTCAGAAAAATGAGCATCATTTGAGACATATGGAGCTGGAGGTAAGAATGATGTGTGTGTGCTATCCTTGGTAGATCCTAGATGAATAGATTGGTGCATGTTAATCCATTGGTTCTTTGAGGACATAGGCATTGAAACTCTAGAGTCAGAGAACACAAGATGAGATACATTAGAAGAATCAAAGTTCCTGAATATAGGATACAAAACAAATGTATTAGACTCTAGTACGCTGGTGTGTACATTAGTACTGAAAGTTATTATGTCATTAATGGAACTAACACATCAGAAAAAACTATTTTGCTCTAAAGAACTTTATAGATAGGGTTCAGAATGTTAAAATATGGATGATATGGTGTTGAGTTCTTCTGCTTCTTTTGTTTGTCCTTTCTTTCTCACTCATTTGTACCTTGCCTTATTACTCATCGCTAATGAATTCTGTTTTTTATTGCTATATAAACCGGTACTTATGCTAATACTTAAATAATAATTGACTTTAGAACCATTCAATAAGACTTATGTGAGTGAGTCTCTCTCACTTTACTACCTTCTGCTGAGTTGTGCATGTGAGTAGCTATCTTTTTGCCTTGTCTTTCTATTTTGCTAATGAGCTCTTACATATTCTATCATTTTCATCTCTTTTCCTTCCTGATTATATCCATGATGTGACTAACTCCCTGTGAATATCATCTTTTCTTATTATCTACCTAATAAGTCCTTTCTTGTTTTGCCTACTGGTCTCTATGCTGCTGGTGCCCTATTGCACTAATTCTTTTGAAACAAAGTTCAGAGCTAGAATGTTCCTTGTCACTAAACTCAGATCTTTCTCTCTTAATCATCAATCCATTTGAGATATTCTGTCCATTCCATTCATAACTTATATTTTTAACCCTTGCTCACTTCCCTTGATCATCTGTTGTCTCCAAAGTCCTGCCCTGCCCATGAGATGATCCTTTGAGTGTGGAACTCTTACTCATGCCCAATCCTCTGAGAATGTTTTTAATAATGAGTGCTTCATCTCTTTTGTTTATCCTATCCTTATGTGTTTCCTTTGGTTTCTTTATCTTTTTGCTTTTAATGATTCCTTTGGGTGCCTCAATTGGTTGCTTGCTGATGTGAATTTTAAACTCATATCCATTGCTGGCATACCTCTAATATATCTAAATCTTTGTTTAAATTAATTGCATTCAGATCATACACAAAAAAATTTCAACAAAGCTGGATTTTCTGATTAACCTCTTCTTCACTTCTAGTTTTTCTTCTTTTTGCTCTACTGCATTTTAGTGCTGTCTGTCTCACCTGTTTCCATATGCCCTTGTGTCAAAAATCTTCTCAGTTTCACCATATTTTATCTTCAAGTTTGATTTTAGCATGTCAGACCCAGAAGACCATATATGAGTATTCATTCATTCACTTCTAATATTCAAAGGCTACTCACTCACTCATCCCTCCAAGTTTCAACAGTAATATCAATAATCTTGCAACCATCACTTTTCAAAGTGCTGCATAATAAAGCAATTAGGGCAAGCCCTATCCATTCAATCTTACAGACATGTCTTTCTCTGTTAAGACAGAAAAAGTTTTGCCTCAGACCAAGATCTAGCCCATTAACTTGTCCAGCCTTACACAAACCTTCAAAAAGGGTGACAAAGCAACTGTGATAAATTTGTTGTATCATTATTCTGTTCTTTCTCTTAATGACAACTTATACTATAATAATAACAATAAGATGTTGGCTTGGGATACCTCCCAGCATTACCTTGATTTTTGCCTTATTGTGGGAGGCTTCATTGATTTGCATGTATTGCTTCTAAAGAAAATAGTCAATCATATCTTTTCTACCATCCTTGATCCCATTCTTGATCTTTATCTTCCTACTTGTTTCTTTCAATCTAAATTCAGCAAGTTAGGTTTAATCTAATAAGTTACATGATGGCTCTTAGGACCAGTCCTTCATTTCAATTTTGACTGGCTTTTTTCTCCCAGAAGAACTTAGAAGACATTGATGTTTTCCTTCTAAGCAAAAGACTACATGAGGACATCAGACTCTCACTATCTCACTTTCATATGACCATCATGTTATTTTTTTAGGCCCTATCAAAAAATCCTTCCTATCCTATCTGTATTATGCATTATTATGGTATGGACAATAACCTTAGTGCATGAAGGATCAAGGATGGATATGTTTAATATATGATGAGTGTTTCTTTCTTAATATTCTGTTTTGCATTCCACAATGTCTGCCTTGTTCTTCTTTATTTGTTACCACATATTCACCCCTATATCTAGGTCTCAATGACCTCCCCACTCCAAGCATGATATATTCTATTAGAACTACTTTCACCACTGTGACACTGGTGATTAATAATTAACTAACTCTATAACATCATTACTTCTGATTAGAAGGACTCAACTATACTTATATTATAGAAGCTAAGAATTGGCATGCAGAAAGATCTTATGCTGACATAAGATATATATTGGTTGCTATCACCATAGACATCATGTATGTTCTTTCTATTTTCTTGCATCTCATGTTACTGCATGCACAGATAGATGCATTATAGTCAAATAGTAGTTGGAGGTGCTAAACAAAAAGATAATTCAACAGTATAGCATAGTGTACAACTCTACTGACTCAGATATTCATAAAGAGATAGACCTCAAAGATCTCCATTATGATCTCATCATGCATCATGAAAACAATGTTTCTGATAAGGACAAACATTGCATTCCTTGGCTGCATGGCAAGATGTGTTATAGTGAAAAACTATGTGGATTTCTAGTAAACTTAGAGACCATCATCTCAGAGTTATTTTCCTCCTACATTCCTGATCATGGAGACATAGTCAAGGACTAAGATGCATACACAGAAGAACAGAGCTTCATATTGTTAATTGCTATCTTCTCTCTGGTATTCCTCTAAACCATGGGACACTATTCTTCCTCACTTTGCTCCTTTCATCTCTGACATCTGTTATGCAATCTTACGCAGACCTTGCATGATAAACCTAGATGATGGTCAACCTGGGTCTTACAAAACCTAGCTGCTATTTGACTCTAAAAGATTTCTGAACCAGGCTTAAGGCTCACAAGTCCCTGTAAGGCTGATGCATCAAGTCTGCTAGTTATAGGTGATAGGTAATGCATCAACTATGTATATTCCCAAGCTTTGCGATGCATTATTGATGCATCAGAACATGCTAATTAGTAGATCTTTAATATGCCTATATATCCACAGTCTGTAGCACTTTCAGTCAATGATTTTTTTTGGTCCTCGGCAACCAAGAAACCTATGAAGATCTAATCTTCAGTTCATCGAATCTCTGTTCACATTGTGCCTTCCACTTCGGCTTCTATTTGGTACCATCCTTGTTCAAATCGAATCTCACTTGAAGCCGCTTGACTGACGACATATCCCAACACGGAATTTCGCAAATTAATGTGTATATTCGCAAGCAGGTTTTGGGGGATACATACTATACATAGCTACATACAAGGTATTCCTAGCATCAATAAATAATGGCAGAATAATAGGTTAAAATGTGTAACAAATACGAAAAATTTACCCTACAGTGCATACCTGTGTGGTGTGAGCAGCAAGCGAGGGAGAGCAGCGAGTGGATGCAGCGAGGGAGAGAAGCGAGTGGATGCAGCGAGGGAGAGCAGCGAGTGGAGGCAGCGAGGGAGGGCAGTGAGTGGAGGCAGCGAGGGAGGGCGGCAAGTGGAGGCAGTGAGAGAGGGCAGCGAGTGGAAGTAGCGAGGGAGAGCAGCAAGTGGAGGCAGCAAGGGAGAGAAGCAAGTGGAAGCAGTGAGGGAGAGCAGCAAGTGGAGGCAGCGAGGGAGAGCAGCGAGTGGAAGCAGTGAGGAGGGAGACCAGCGAGTATAAAGAACAAAATGTTTGGTGTGGTGTGAGCAGCAAGCGAGGGTGAGCAGCCAGTGGATGCAGCGAGGGAGAGAAGCGAGTGGAAGCAGTGAGGGAGAGCAGCGAGTGGAGGCAGTGAGGGAGAGCAGCAAGTGGAAGCAGCAAGGGAGAGAAGCGAGTGGAAGCAGTGAGGAGGGAGACCAGCGAGTATAAAGAACAAAATGTTTGTGGAACATCATTAGCAATTAACAGATAATAGAATATTGATCACGCACCTTATTGAACAGCTTGTTAATGTACACCTCGACTCCTACCAAGTCCCACTATTAATGAACATAGTAGCTGCATGAAGTCAGAAGAGTGTACTATTAGCGTGAAAAACACACCTAGAAAATGTTGAACATGCAGTTGAACCAAAATGTTCGGAACTTCGGACCAAACTTGGTCGGACCATAACAGTCAGATGTCACTGATATTATATATGCAAAAGGCCAGTACACTTGGAGTTCACTGCAATTGAATCAGTATGTAGGTTAATTGTTGTACCGTAGTTAGATAAAATTCACATATGCATGCTAGAATTTGGAATGATCATCGAGATGGTTCAAGTTGAGACTCAGGTCATAATGGCCGATTCATCCAAATTGGACTCAAACTAGACCCTGGTAGGACCGAAACCAAATTATGTATGTCACTACTAGAGGCTCGACATTGCTCTAAAATCTAATGCCAACCAAACTTGAAAGTCATTGATAATATTACAAGCATTGAATTGGGCCAGATTATATATGATAGATCTGATGTTTTATGTTCGAGTTATGGTCCTACCATGGGTAGGACCATAACTCAAACATAAAACATCAAACAACACAAACTGTTTGATTCTTCTTCCTGCCGTCTCGTCCTGGGTCCTAGACCCTCCAGCAGCGCATGCACCTCGTCTCCATGTCCATAACAATGTCCAAATGGAAAACCTTGGTGGAATGGCAGAGTTGGGGACTTATCGAACCCGCCCTAGTATTACTAATCTGAAAGGACAGCAAGAGACCTACTAAAATGGATACTGAGTGACTGGGCACCAAAGGATTCGAGTAGGAACGGCAAGAGGCCTACCAAACTGAATATTGAGTAACCGGACACCGAAGATTAGAGTAGGTAAGCAAGGTACTGTACTGGAAGCAATGGAGCAAGGTATATATAGGTACAGCGCGCTAAATATGGATGGATGAGTGCTAAATATGGACAGTCGCAGCCCGAATATGTACCAGATGGATGATGCATAACTGTCAGATCCCTGATGCATTAATGATGCATCACACAATGAGCAAGCTTGATGCATCACAAAACTAGGCTACTTAGCCTGTTCTGATGCATCAAAATGACAGTATTGCCTGTAAGGCTCAAGAAAGAGAAAATGTTATGAAAACTGCTGAAGCCTTAGACTTGTAGTGGAAACTGGTGAAAAGCTAACTTAATTATGTAAGCTACAAAAGTGCAAACATAATACTAAAGTAAGAACAGTCTCTATAAGCCTAGCTAAGAATCAGTTCCTATACCATAAATATAAGATAAGGCTTCTCTATCAAAAATATAACAATAAAATCAGCCTCAATGATATTCCCTGTACCTTATGTCTAGACAACATATACATCATTTAATATGATTTCATCAAGCCTAAAAAATGTAATAGAATGTGAGTGTTAAGACCGTGCACAAAGGGTAGGACTGGTTCCGAAGGGCTTGGCTTCAGCTCATGCACTGTGCCCCTTACCCGAGTATGTGCCCTTAATTCAGATGACATCTGGAGAAAGTCCAAGGAAGTCCGTAGGACTTCCGAAGGAGCACGGGAAAGTCCGGAAAGACTGTCCGGATCCGGATGAGTGCGAGAAACTTCCGGAGGGGTGCGGGAAACTTCCGGAAATTACTATGAGGTTTCATCCTGGTACAGATATGTGTAATGGCTACTCAGGATGAATCCTGAGTAGAATGGAGACAGAGGAAAGGCTGCAGGGACAAAGTCCAAAGCAGAATAGGTCCGGAGGACTGCGGGAAAGTTCCGGAGGAACTTCCGGAAACTCGGAGGAGTGTAGGATCAGAGGAGCGAAGGATCGGAGGAGCGGAGGAGCGGAGGAGCGGAGGAGCGGAGGAGCGGAGGAGCGGAGGAGCGGAGGAGCGGAGGAGCGGAGGAGCGGAGGAGCGGAGGAGCGGAGGAGCGGAGCTCTGGCCTAGGGAATTCCTCCCTAGGCCTGAGATGGATATTGACTAAGTCGGAGGACTAGAACTAGTATGAGGACTTAGTGTGAGGTCTAGTGCAAGGACTAATATGTGTAATATTCAGACTAAGGAAATACAGGAGTTTCTACAGGGTTTATATACTATGGAGGACATAACAGAGAATCAGTCAGCGCAGTGCAAGGCTATGTGAGGCTATGGATGGAGCATGTGGAACACCTAACACTAGTGTATTGGAACATAATAAAATGAAGACGGAAATAAATCAGATACAGAAAATAAAGCACAGTCGGTTATAGGAATAACCGGATGTCCAGAAACAGGTGATTACCATAAGGGAATGAGCGCTGATTTAAGGTTTGGGTTTGGATATGAAGCATAGGTCAGATCCGGAGATCCTGGCAAGTGGATATCAGATTGAGTGTCTGGGTTTCGGATCCGGGTGTGTGGATATGCAAAGGTACAGGGATCCGGGTGTACAGGCATCTGGACAGATAAAGGACATGGACAGGGGGTCCAGAGGTCCAGATGAGGTGTGGGAACATTGTCGGATGTTGGTCCGGAGTATGGGATATGACAGAGAGTCTTTTTAGTAAGACCTCATAATACTAATGTAATAATTGAAGTCAATCAAAAACCTGGAGACTGTGAGGTCACATACAGATGAGAACATCCAAGTGCAGTGTGAAATCTTTTCTATCAGAACATTACTGTAGGCACTATTCTCAAGGTCAAAACCTACATAAGAGTTTTTGAGGGTGTCATACAGCTTGTGCCTCACATCGTAGAAAAATTGCAAGAACTATGGAACAGCCTATTCTATAATAAGTTGGGTACATAAAAGCAAGAAGAATATGTACAAGGTTCTAATAGCCACTTTCAGAAAGAGGTTTTCTTCATAACTTTAGAAAGAACTGGAAATAAATCAACACATGTAGGAGGTATTGGAAAAATGAGTTCTTACTAGTCTCCAAGGTCGAAGGATCAACCTTGAACCTTATCAGGCTAAGGGACTAGAGTTGGTAAATTATCTTAACTCTTTGGCCACATTCACTTGTAAGGACCAATGGGTGGAGATTGGGTGTTGCACCATAGCAGACAGCAATTCTGATTAGTATTTAAATATAGGCAAGTGGATATTCCCACTGATCATTTGCCTGCATGATCCTACCAATAGTATGGTCTGCAAAATTACTTGCTTGGGGTTTGGCAGATATGGCTACATTTTGGTACAATCCAACAGCGCTGCTTATACTTGCTGCATTGCCATTCGTAGACTTGGAGAAATTCCAAGACTGTGAGTAGATTGATGTTTCCTAACCAAATGCAGTCCAGATATCTGAAAATGCAATCAGGTCCTTATAGTGATTTTATGATACCCAGTAGGTATTGTGTAAGATGAACAACAATTCCTCAAAAGAGTTTGTCTCATTGACCTACAAGGATGTCAAGTAAGATAGATTTCCATTAGAAGGTAGGACTTATATAGTGGTATAATTATATATAGTATTCTTGTAGCTTACTATCATCAGACAAGGCAAATTCAATAGTAGGGCAGAGAAGTTAAGCTAAGAATTCAATCAGTGGGAAGGCAGGATGCAGTCGCTAATCAACATACTAGCATGGACATCCAAATATAGCTCACAAGACACAAGTGCTCTCTAAGCTTATGCATGGTTAGTTTTACAGCATGTAGAAAGTAAGATACCTTATATTCAATTAGGTGTTTGTCGGTGAAGGTTCAACTATACAGCGAGGCACGAACAATGCTCCTGACTGTATCTATAAATGTTGTAAGGTCGCGCGTTACCTAGTCTGCTATACTTGAGACGACAAGTGCGTTCGACCCTAAAGGGGAAGCGAGTGCAGCAAGGATCTAGTAGTAGGCGCTGAAGGCGCTACTGGTGGCAAATGCAAGCGCGGGAAAGCGCAGGTGCGCGCGAGGCGTGGGAATGCGCGCGCGTGTATGCGGAAACA